GCGCATCGAGGACCCTGGCCTTGGGGGTAGCAGTGCGAGTAAATATCCGGCCTTGCCTGCAAGGTGGGCCAACTCCACACTAATGGCCATTGTTTTGAAATGGGATGTTCAACAAGCTCATATGAATGATGGTCAGGTGTCCAAATACCATATAGTGTATATGGCGACAATTTCTGCAGTTCTCCCCCCTTCCTTTCACATATGTTCCTAAAAGAGCTGAAGCTTTGCCTTGTACGGACTTATTTAATTAAATTGAAACGATGCAGAAATTACAGTATATATTATACAAAATAAACACCAAGTAGTTGATGGCGGTCCTCAATCACATATGGTCCCCCCTGAAATACTCTTCACTCACCCTGTATTCATAGTCTGTAAATTCCCTTCCCCCACGCCCTCCTCTGTAGCCACCACGGTAACCTCTGGGCGCCCCAAACCCCCCGCCTCCTCCACCGCCTCTCCTCTCGCCACGTCCTCTTCCACCACGGAAACCCATGTTCCCTCCTCGACCTCTGTAACCGCCGCGACCTCTGGAGCGCATGGGAACACCAAACGTCTCGACGTTAATTTTCCGCTCCTCAGCCCACGTTGATCTTCGGTCTCTGAGATGGGAAAAATAGAAGAAGCCATTTAGCATTTTGCAAGCCGGACATTTTCCTCATTAACCTGACAAATGGCACAAAAAAACAATACAAACAAGTGGCACCATCACTAAGAATTCTGCCCCATTTACAGTTATAAACAACCTCTGCAGTTACCTCTTCCTAGTCCCCTCTTCCCTCTGAAGGCCTGGGCGCAGAGACTGCAAAAGACGCTCAGTAGCTTCCACCAATATGACAGGTCAATAGCAGCAATAATGGCTGGGCTACCGCAACCAGCCCCATCACGGACTTCACAGAATATAAATACATCACTAGAAATTGGGGGGTATTTCTGGCTTCCCCTCCCCCCTTTATTTTCACCCGATCCTGCCAGTAACACTTCCTGTTCCAGGGTGACAACACTGCACTGCATCGATACCCTAATACAGGACTACAATAACATCTCATTCTCAGTAACATGGGGAGCAGTTCTGTAGTCCCCAGATATAATTGAGAACAATTTAACTGATAAATTCCAGAACAGGAAGAGGGTGCAGGAAGTCACTAAGGGCTAGTTCACACCAGATGCAGTCAGGTTTTCGCTTTGCAGCTGCATCAAAAACGCATCACAACGCTTTCCAATGGTCTTTCTTGTGCTCTGCTCACACCAGTGCAGTCAGCCAGAAAAAGAATACTGCGTGCACTATTTTAGTTGCATCGGATCGCAAAAAAACAAACACGCATGCAAACTCTCATTTTAAGCAATTTACACTCTTTTTATGCAATTAAGGCAGCGACTGGCCAGGGGAAATTCCAATCCCAAGAAGAAGAGATGGAGCTTAGTCGTTACCTGTTATCGTCGCAGGAGATGTTGTCGAAGAAAGATTTGGTTTTATCGTAGTAACACGGCACCTCTTCCTCTTCTGTGTTTCCTTCACTGTTCTGCATGTCCACCCCAGAGTCCCCCTTGTCCTCTCCGTTCACCGGCTTCTCTGGTTTGTCATCTGGAAAAAACCACACAAAACACTAACTAGCATACACAGGACACGTCTGCACTGGGTAAACAGTCAAGCAAACGTCAATTCCTTCCCGTTAAAGTGCGTTTGTTGGATTCAGCAGGGAAGGGTAGGAACCTCTTCCAGGCTGTAAAGGAGAACTATGGGGTTAAGTCTTTTCCCCATAGTTCTCATTAAGGTAACGGGAGGACACAAACTGGCATCCTCCCGTCACCCTAGGCTCAGTATACCGTGAGCTGTAGCTCACGGTATACCGAGACGCTGCAAAATATACCGCGAGCAGCGACGCCGCAGCTGAAGCGGATCCCAACAATTGTGCTGGGATCCGCGCAGCTGCGTGACTGACAGCTGGCTCTGCCTATCTAGAGGCAGAGCCAGCTGTACCCGCCCCCTCCCGTTCCGCCAGTCCGCACTGGAGGATCGGAGCGGGGAGGTGGGAATCCAGCCCCTCCCCTGTCACGGCAGAGAGCCGTGACAGTATCGAGAGGTGAGCGAACGCCGGTATGTGTTCGCTCACCTCCCGATCTACTGAGCAGACCTGTGACAGTCTCATTGTCACAGGTCGGCTAGAACTATGAGGTGAGTGAAAAGCACGCCCCTCATAGTTCTCCTATAATGCCGTCTGAGGCCTTGTTGGGAAGATCCGCCTTCTCTTTCTAAAGACACTGACAGAGTTTCGGAAAATCTCCAACAGAGCCATCAGGCCCCTTTCACAGTTTTCCAATGAGATCCGCCTGTCAGTTTTGCAGACCTGATCGGAAGCCCAATGTTAATCTATGGGTAGCCGGATCTACACAGACCCCTGTCCGGTTTCATTCAGTTACCCGCAGCTCCGGCCAGGGCTGGTAAAACAAATTGATCAGCGATCCTGAGCGTTCTGGATCGGGGATAACCAGATGTAGACAGACACACATTTGCTTAGATCCGGCAGCCCATACACTAACATGGGTCCTGTAAAGTCAGCTGTTTCCTCCATCGCAAGATAGAAAAAAAAAACTGCACAGCACGGATGTCACAACGGTGACATCCTTTCCGATCAGGAGAACAGTGCACGGATTCCCCTTCCTGAATGGACTGCGTGAAAGGGGCCTAAAAGGCTCACAGGATTTCTACATCTTAGAGAGAACCTGTCACCAATTTAAGAATCGCAGATAAAAGAAAATTTAAATCAAGTATGTGTTTTATTAGCGACACGTGTAATCTGTACAGAGCAGCCTTCCCCATATCACAGGCTGACCAGACAACCACGTTTACCTACCTTTTATTTTTAACTTGTTGTGAAATTCCTTGTCGATTTCTTCTTTGTTGAATTGTGCATTGGCGCTTTCGAAGTCAAAGTCCTTTTCAAATTTCATGGGGCCGTCTCGCCTGACGTTAAATCTCCCTCGCCCTCCTCTGTGACCGCCGCGACCTCTCCTGGGCTGGGATGCGGCTGCCGCTGCAGCTGCTTTGATGGAATAAGCATGGTCAAAAAAAATTGCTTTCAAAATATTCAACTTGGAACACAATTATTGCCAAAGAAACAAAAACAAAAAACATGTTGATTCACAAACTTTATAACAAAAAAACTGCATCACCCCAAACCACCTACATGTACTTTAACCTCCATGGCGGTCTGAGTATTTCATGGTTTGTTTCCATTTTTTTTTCGGGTTTTCTGTCGTATTTTTTTTTTGTCGTTTTTTTTATTTTCAAATTTCCCTCCGGTTCCGCCGCCCCCCCCCCGCGATGTGTACGCTCGCAAGGGACGGAACCCGGATGCATCGGCCGGAGGACACAGCGGGGAACGTGGACAAGGTAAGTACCGCCCTGTGTAATCCTGAGTCTGGCTCGGGGGTTAACACTTTTGGTAATGAAAATTAACCCTGACCCACACTCGGGATTACCGTTAATACTCCCAAAGTCTCTCGTTTGAGACCCAATCTCCAAATGCAGCTTTAGTTTCTCCGAGCTAGACTCCACCATATCCCCATTACCCAAAAGGAACAGTGTTAATAGTCATTAGTAGAAGGTGGGCCTCTCCTGGAACACACCAAGGACACAGACTCAAAAATGGAGCAGAGAAAATCTGGAGTAGATGTGCATGGTAACCAATCAGCTTCTGTCTTTCATTTTCAAATCTTAACTGGAGAAGCCGATTGGTTGCCACGCACAGCTGCTCCAGATTTTATCTGTTTTGATAACAACCCCCCCAGTGTTTAATAAAGTACTTGCAGGTGCCTTAACCAGTCTTTATTACAGGAAGCTCCTACACATAGGCAAAGTGCAGAAGTGGATTAGCACACAGATTTGGATAAAATACACAAATTATACCAAGATTCAAGTAAGAACACACACAGGGCTCATGTATTTAGACTACAATTAGCCCAGAATTCAGTTTTAACCCAACAGGCTCACTTTAAAGAAAGAACACTATAAGCTAGACTTATAAAAAGATATGAAAGTCTGAAGAACACTGATTCTCACCTGCATGCCTCCTGCTGGGGTCTTGTTTGTCGTTCCTAAGAATGTCTGGGTCGGCTCTTGCTACCCTTTGTGCCTCACCTAAACAATAAATACAAACATAAGGTGTCTGCACACCGTACATCGAGGGTACAAACACATGAAAGGAGAGATCCGGTGCTCACTTTTTCTTTGCTCTGTGCTTTCCATCGTCTTTTGGATTGTGGATGGCAGAGGTCTGGAAGAAACTGGACTCCTCCTGCCCACGGGTGCTGTGACCGCTGGCTGAACAGACGCCGTCTGGACCCCTTGTTCGAGGGTTGGACTCTTCCTTAGCGGATCTAGCAGGGGACTCGAACGAACTACAGACAAAAAGTAAAACCATAAGCCACACAGCAATGCAGAATGTATGTGCAGACTCAATGAATTTTAGCAGACAAAGTGTTCCATCTCCAACTCTAAACTTCGCCAGCTTGCAGGCCTGATGCAAATTGTATACTTGAGTCTTCTACTGTATGTGTTCTGGTATGGAAAAACGTGAAAGTAAAAGGAGACCAGCCGCACTCCAATGACGCCCGCACAAGTGCAACTTTATTGTTCCAGACAAGCACTGCAGAAGGTCAAGGACCCTCCTCCTCACTGACAGGTTTCACCCAGGGTTGAGTCTTTGAGGCCTCTACGACTTGGCCCTCGTGTCACAGTGAAATAGGGTCTGAGCAGACCTCATGTATTACTTGTTTAGAACAACAAAGTTTTACACATGCTGATGTCACTGAAGTGCTGTCGGTCTCTCTGCCATTGACACATGGGGAACTGGGACTAGCTCCATTCAGCCAGCACCTGAAACCACAGAGGCAGAGTCTGGACTTGGGAGAGACAGTTCTTTGGTTCTGTAAGATAAGGACCATAGCAGGGAAAGTTTAAGGGGCCATTACGGTATCTAAAGCACACGTTTTTCTTCTTCTTTAGAATTGTATATAGTGGTGAGGGGTAAGAACCTCCGACAGCTGTACACCCTACTGGCTCTGCAGCCGAGAGATTCCACCATGGTAGTTTCTCTTCCACTTCTCACACGTTTATAATAAAAGTGCTGCATTCTTGCAGCTGGACTCCTCAATGATTTGCATATTGCAGACTGCACAGGCCGCAGCTGGGGAGGGTGACAATATATCAGTCCATCATATAAAATAAAGGCCAACGCTTTCCTAGATAGGAGTCATTAAATGGAGACATCAGTTTGATTTCATATCAGTATGTTAAATATTATAGGGTTCTTTAAGGGGCAAACATACAGCAGTCAATGTGACTTTTACCATTTGCGGGTGGTAAATCAATCGCCATTAAAGAGGAACTTTACCAGGATCTTTGAAATGACAACAAACTCAACTTTAGAAATGTTTAGTGCGTACAATCTACAATCAGAGACTTCTAGATGATTGCTGGCTGTGTATACCTTATTTTTACCCCCTTCCCATTCTTCTTACAGTGGCCATATTTACTAAGGGCAGATGAATATATCTACTTTACTTCCTGGAACTCTGCAACATGTGACTAAGACATGTGACCATGCACATCATCTCAGGGGAGAAAAATGCCTTTTCCTGAGATCTCATAAGATTCCCCAGCAATGCTCTGCTGATGTAACCTTCCCAAGATGCAACGCTTGGGCACAGCCTGTATCACTAATGCCCAAGAGGACCAGGAAGTGAAAAAATAGTAATAGCAACTAAAAAGAAAAATGTAAGATGATTTCATATCAGCACGGTGATGTGATTTTTAGTGAAAGGGGGTAAAGGTCCATTTCATTAAAAACATGCACCAGCAACATTCGCCTGCAGTAACCGTTTGGGGAGTGTCTCTGCCTTCTAATTCCCTCCCAGGTTTGTGCTTTGTGACTAAGAACGGTTACTGAAATCAAAGTATAAATGTATCCACCATTTCCTGATCTACTTGACTGTGTGATGAAGGCACTAGGTGGTTTTGTACATATGTCTGACCTATGTGGATGGTGCGGGGATATCACTAGTGTGCTCAACCTGGCATTTACCTTGTGGCAATTGTGTTTTCTGGTTCCTTGTGTCCTGGTTAAAGGATGAGGTCACTGTGCTGGTTGAGCCCAGAGGAGCACTGGATGTTGCGTCTGCACCGAATGAGCTCAGGGCGCTTCCACCTAGCAAAAAAAAAAAAAGATTAAGATCAGTCCAAGGCACAGGCTACAACATATTGTCCAAATTCTCCAAAACATTTATCTGGTAGAGAGAGAAAGATATGCCGTTTATATGAATGAATCAACTCTGCTGGTAGTAGAAATGAAAAGAATTAATCAGATCTTCGCAGAGGTTTCAGAATAAAAGTTGAAGTGTAGTGTATGCATATAATACCTTCCTTGTTCCCCCTCTCATGCTGACTAACATGCAATTATAACTTTTCAATCAAATAATTTCAGCTGCAAACAATCTCTTTTGAGATGAAGTAGCCTCATCACTGGGTCTGTCTTCTGGTCTTTGCTCTTTTTTTAAAACTGAGTTTGTTGGGAGGGCCTGGCAGGCTCCTGTAAACATTACAGCATCCTGCCTTTGATATTCTTTTAAGAACCCCACCATTATATGAAAGAAGATATCCCTGGCATCCCTTTATACATGTTCCTCCCCGCTACAGACATGATCTATGCAATCTGATCAGTTGATTGATTATACTCTAAATTGACTGCAGTTACCTGATCAGCAAATTGCACAGCTACAATCTGCAGCACCCAGCAGGAAGGAGCAAGTCTAAAGGGACGTGTTATTTCATATAATGCTCTGGAACAAAAATAACTGATGGCAAAGAAAGCAAATAGCTGCAAAAGGCGGGCCAACTAAAGTATGGTTTAAAAAGGACAGGGGACAGACAGGAAAAGGAAGCGGGCTCAAGATAGCAGCTGCAGCCGTAAAGGGTTGTATAGTTGAGATTCAAGTTTGCAGAGAATTGAAGGTAATCAGTTTCAACCCAGGAGAGGAGTTGCAACAAAAGGTGAGGGAAAATAAAAGGTACGGCTGAAATTCAGCTTTAAACTGGATGCACTGCATTGCCAACTACCAAATCCAGTTCCCTTTAAAAAGGCACAATACAGGAAAATGCAGAAAGAATGCAGCAAGCATGGACCACATTTCTGCCAGTATTGCAAACACCACATAATGCATCTCAATCCATTTGAGGAATGAAAAGGAATACTAAAAACACTTCCTTCCCTGACCCTTTGTGCCATTACCTGCTACAAACAAAACAAGAACTCCACATTAAACTTATAGGCAACTACAAAAAATATGCATACCAACAGCTCCAAACTGCTGAGGCATCAGAGGGCCCGAGTTGAACTGGCTGTACGCCGGCATCCTGCTGAACGGGGCGTAGGAGCTTGCAGTCGGGAAAGAGGAAGTTGCAGAGGTTCCCAGTGAAGACTGGAGAGAAAATAAACATTAGTAAAAGCATGTTGGGGTGGTGAACAAAAAAACCAAAAAAAAAAAACCTGACATCATATGCAGAGCAAAGCACAATCCATTGATCTGCAGATGAATACAATGTTACTTTGTATCTATTTATCTCCCCCTCTGACCAATGTTTATAAACAATGTTACTTTGCATCTCTCAATCTCCCCCTCTGACCAATGTTTATAGACAATGTTACTTTGTATCTCTCTATCTCCCTCTGATCAATGTTTATAAACAATGTTACTTTGTATCTCTCTATCTCCTCTCTGATCAATGTTTATAGACAATGTTACTTTGTATCTCTATCTCCCTCTGACCAATGTTTATAAACAATGTTACTTTGTATCTCTCTATCCCCCCTCTGATCAATGTTTATAAACAATGTTCCTTTGTATTTCTCTATCCCCCT